TATTAGAATAAGTTTGCTTTCAATGTGGATTAGGTCTAAAGTTAAAGTAAGGAGGATTGGCACCTTCATGTTTTATGACTCTGCACTGTACATAAATTATGATTAAAATATTATGATAAATATTTAGCATTATCTAGGAGTAGATTTGTTGACGGGGACGTTGGTTACTACCGTTCTACCGTTATCTCAAATTACCTAAATGCTAACGTTATCCATTCAAAAACAATATATATATATATATATATATATATATATATATATATATATATATATATATATATATATATATATATATATATATATATATATATATATATATATATATATATATATATATATATATATATATATGGTTAGAATTCAATAAACACGGCTGCGTATAAACTTCTTTTAAATATATATATTTTTTCTTTAATATATAATTATTTCGATATTTCGCTGATCTATTGAGATCAGCGTCATCAGGTATAATAAATAAAATAGTTACAAAAAAAAATCGTTATAGTAAAAACAAACCGTTAAAAAGATAACACTAAGAAGCAAAATATAATACAGAAAAAACTTTTTAAATAACTGACGTCAGCAGATTTTATTAAAAAATGGCCCAGGTTTTGGTCACCGTCATCCCGATTGAGAACCACATCACCATTTCTCAACGATTTTTTTTTTGTAATTATTCTATTTATTATACCTGATGACGCTGATCACAATACATCAGCAAAATATCGAAATAATTATATATTAAAGAAAAAGTATATATATATTTAAAAAAAGTTTATACGCAGCCGTATTTATTTTTATTTATATTTATCTTTATCATAGTAAGAATTTGGGAAAACATCGAGGAATACTCTCATCCATCATAGTTTTAATGTTTCTCTTTATTTTTTTAAATTCCATAACTGGAACGATTTTTTTTATTATTAACATAATATCGATAAGCAGTTCTTCGATAAGTTGAGTGAACTTAATTTTTTTTTACCTTCTATCATGCACTGAAAGAAGTTAAACCAATAGTGTTGCATGCACTAATCACTTTTACTCCTATTCACTTTTTGTTCCGAACATGTCTTTGTAATTTTAAATGGCTATATATATTTTTAAAATATTAGTTAAAAGTTGAACTAAGTTTTTTTTTCTAAACATTTTACTTTTGAACACTTTTTCTTAAATTTGTAAACTACTGCTATTTAAAAATTTTTATTTTACTTAGGAAAGAAAGGAAGGGGGGGTAAATTAATTGTTGACATAATTTTATAGGGGGTTTCTGAAAGTTGACAAGGGAGAGGGGGAGGTAAAAACTGTCCAAAAATTGTTGACGTAATTAGTAAACAGCCCATTAATATTTTTAATATTCTTTGTTTTATGTTTAGATGTAAAACTAATTCATCCTTAATTTCTTTCCATAAATTGTATTCAACAAAAAATAAAATTAAACTTATTTTACGCAATGATAATTTTATGAAGCAGCCCCTTTTTCAAACAAATATTTTTCAATTTTTTGGAATAAAATAGTTTTAAAAGATTTTACTGAGGATTTTATTCATCAAAGTAACCACTTTTCTTTTAAACGAACGCTTTAAGAACTCATTTTTACAGTCGAAGATTTAACAATATACTTCTAATATTTGTTTATTTGAATTTTTCATGCTATATTTTTCAATACAATGTTCTTATATCCGAAGATATTGTTGGCTTAGCATAGGAACAACCACAAATAGTCATTAAGACTAATCCAAAGTAGCGTCCGTTATTGACCAACATTTTTGCATACCGAAGTACAGAGTTGGCGGTGGCAGGATTTGAACTCGTATCTTGCAACAGTCCGGGTTTAAACTTTTTGTTCTACGCCGAGCTATCCAGCCACGAATTTATATTTACGAATATCTTCCTTTTTACCCTCTATTTAAACATGAATTTAAATGAAAACATAAATTAATCTTCCTTTTTACGCTCTATTTAAACATGAATTTATAAAAATTGTATTATTAACAAATGTAAAAATAAAAAATGTATTGTTAACAACTGTAATCTACATATATAATAAATATAACGCATCTTGTATTTATAATGGAATATTTTAAGTTTCTTACTTCGTTACTTATCTTTATCTTGTAAATATCTTGTAATATATATAAATTTTAACACGAATATTTCTTAGCGGTAATTGACGACAAAACCGTCTTATACGAGTCCTCGCGTTCTTTTATTTTTTTAATTACGATCATTTTATGTATATTTTTTATTATTAAATATATTTATTTTAAATATTGTAAAGAAATGCTCATTTAAAATGTAATAAAAAAAAACAAAAAAACAAAAAAAAAAATCACCTTTTTTCCGGATATCACATGTACAACATGACCGGTACTTCGTATTTTTCCCGGGACAAAAGTACTTATTTCCGACGTACCGGTATCCAGCCGCCGGATATGAAAATGATCATAATTGAAAAATCCTAATAAAAAAAAAAAAAAAATTAAATGCATCTAAAAGTCATTAACATATTACAGGGTTATTCATTCTTATATGCGCGTCTATTCATTTTTATATGCGCCTTTATTCATTCTTATATGCGCATTTATTCATTTTTATATGCGCCTTTATTCATTTTTATATGCGCATTTATTCATTTTTATATGCGCCTTTATTCATTCTTATATGCGCATTTATTCATTCTTATATGCGCATTTATTTATTTTTATGTGGTTTACAAAAGCAATTGTAAAAAAGCAATTTGAACCAAAAAAAATCATTTAATAAAATCATTGATAAAACAGTTTATTATTTCAAAGCAAATTTTTCTTATTTCCTGGTAAACGAGTTTAAAAATACTTATAAGACGAAGACTTTTTACATTCGATGATGGTTTAGTATTAGTTTTTAGTTTAATTTTATTACATTATATTAAATTGTATTATTGTATTAAATTTCTTGATTGATTAAGTTATTTTTTATCTAATTATTTATTTTTCTAGATTTATTATTTAATTATTTAAAATTATTAATATCAAATTTTTACCCTATGGATGGAATAGAAAATAATCGTAAAACAAGGAAAAATGTTACAAAAGAGCACATTGAAATGCTTAAACATTTAGTTGAAAGAAATCAATCTACAACAAGCATTTCCACTTCTCTTAATTTATCGAAACGTCTTCTGATAAAAAACGAGGTGAAAGACCTATAAACGCTCAAATAAAAAATATTATCGAATTATGCGTACAAGAAAACAATCTTTGCACGCAAGAAACAATAAAAGAAAATCTTTCTGCAGCAGGCTTCAACATGTCTCAGCCTACTATTTCAAGAAAACTCAAACGCTCGGATTTATCAAGAAAACGTGTTGTGCATGTGCCAGAAGAACGAAATTCAACACGAATTATCAATGCACGCTATGCATTTGCAAGCGAAATTAACGGAATTTCAGATGAAAAACTTATTTATTTGGATGAAACTGGATTTAAACAGCACATATGGTTATTCGCTAAGAGGTGCGCCAGCAATTTTACAGTCGCCTGCAAATCGTGGCAAGAATGTTAGTTTAATTTGTGCTGTTTCAACAATAGGAGTGCTTGCTTATGAAACAAAAACTGGAGGCTGGAATGCAGATTCATTTTGTACTTTCATAACTACAATGATGGCACCAGCGATTAGGAATGCAAATGTGGAAGCGCCGGTGCTTGTTATGGACAATTGTAAATTCCACTGGAGTCTTTCTGTTAGGCAAACACTAGCCTCTCATGGTATAGCTATTAAGTATCTGCCAGCTTACACGCCACAGCTTAATCCAATAGAAGAATTTTTTTCTTCTTTAAAACATACTTACAAACAGGGAGAAAGGCCTCGAAATACGGATGAGGTAATCAGGAAACTTAAAAATATTATGGATACTACAGAGTTTAATATAGTTCCATTTTACAACCATATGCGTAGTTATATAAATCAAGCGCTGGCTCGGCAACCATTTCTTAAATAAATAACAATGAAAACAACCTAATTTATATTTTAAATATGTCTAGATAAAAATTTAAAAGCGTATTTATCGTGTGAATTAAATTATATTAGAGATTTTATGGGTGGTTGACGCATATACAAACATAGGGATGTATAATTTGATATTAATAATAATTATAAATAAGTAAATTTAAATCGAAATAAATGAATAATTAGATAAATAATAACTTAATCAATCAAGAAATTTAATAATAAAATTACAAAGAACTAATACAAAATTAAATAAACCATCGTCGAATTTAAAAAGTCTTCGTTTTAAGTATTTTTAACCTCGTTTACCTGGAAATAAGAAAAGTTTGTTTTGAAAAGTAAACTATTTTTTCAAAACAAATTGCTTGAATGATTTTTTTTTGTTCAAATTGCTTTTTTACAATTGCTTTTGTAAACCACATAAAAATAAATAAATGCGCATATAAAAATGAATAAAGGCGCATATAAAAATGAATAAAGACGCATATAAGAATGAATAAAGGCGCATATAAAAATGAATAAAGGCGCATATAAAAATGAATAAATGCGCATATAAGAATGAATAAAGGCGCATATAAAAATGAATAGACGCGCATATAAGAATGAATAACCCTGTAATTAAAATGTGCTGTCTCTAAACAAAACAAACGATTGTAACACCTTATACCATCTTGTGACTAATAACTTTTTTTGAAGCGAAATCTTGATAATCGTTTGATATTTCGATATTCAAAGACTGTTAAATAACGATTACGATATTGGTAATTTTTCAAATAAAAGTTATTGTTTACAAATTGGTTGTATCAAAAAAATGACAGAATATTTTGGCAGAAAGAAAACAAAACAAAACAAAAAAAAAAAAAAAAAAAAAACAATAAATAATGTTTATTTTTTAAACGTGGTTTTTCAACTCGATGGAAAAAGGCAATTTCCTTTAAATGCAGTTTTTTTTGAAAACACAATTTTCTTTAAATAATAGAATCTATTTCTATAAAAGTTGTTAATACTTATATTATATTTATAGAGTATATCAGCATTTCTTTTACATAAATGGATTCAAATTAAATAGAGATACTTACATGTTGTTATCTTATGACATATTATATTTTATTATATAACTTATCTTGTTAACAAGTATGAGTGCTCTTGATTTAAAAGAACAAGGTAACAGATTATTTGCTGCACGAAGTTATGATGATGCTATTGGTTGTTATACAAAAGCCATTGTTAGTAAAGAAAATTTTAGAATTTATTTAAATTTTTAAATTATTAACTTATTTTTTTTCCATAAAATCATTTGGATTAGCACATAAAAGTTTAATGTTTCTTTAAGATCAAAGACCCATCAGCTGGATCCTACTACACTAATCGTGCACTTTGTTATCTTAAATTAAAAAAATGGAAACTCGCTATTGCAGACAGTCAACATGCAATCGACATTGATCCAAAAAATGTTAAAGCTCATTTTTTTATAGGTCAAGCTTATATGGAAAATAATTCTTTTGATGAAGCAATTACAAATTTTCAAATTGGTTAGTTGTAATTAATTAGATAAAATTTGACTAAAATAATCGTAGTACATACATCAGCTTCAATACATAAAATTAGGAGTTTATATATATACTGAATTCAGGTTTGGACAGACTATGTATCTATGTTAGAACATTAAAAAAAATTTTTTTTTCTGTTATTTTCTTGTCTGGATTAAAGTCAGAGTCTCCAAAATTAAAGCAAATACAATATAAAATAAAATACAATCAAAATTTTGGATGGGTGTTTATTATAACAACTTTTTTGTTGTTGCTATTATTGTCTTTTCAATATAGATAGTACCTATTCAAACCCTTTTATGTACTGAAGCATATTCAGATGACCATTTCAATATTATGTTATTAATGACATTTTATGCAATACTTTGTAAACAAAAGTATTTGTATATATATATATATATATATATATATATATATATATATATATATATATATATATATATATATATATATATATATATATATATATATATATATATATATATATATATGTATATAGACGAGCCATATGGTATATGTAAGTATATGCAGGGGCATTGAGAGGAGGGGGCAAGGGAAAATATGTCCTGGTCATTTACTGATAATATAAGAAAATTTAGTGTGAAGAGGTTCTTGGCGCCTCTGTATGTATGCATCTCTATATCTATCTATCTATATCTATATCTATCTATCTATCTATCTATCTATATATATATATATATATATATATATATATATATATATATATATATATATATATATATATATATATATATATATATATATATATATATATATATATATATATATATATATATATATATATATATATACTACCTATATATATATATATATATATATACATATATATATATATAATATATATATATATATATATATATATATATATATATATATATATATATATATATATATATATATATATATATATATATATATATATATAATAATGGTCAAATTATAGCACAACCTCTTAAAATAAGATTGTCTCATAAAATTTTTGTATACATTAATCATATTGTTGAAAGGTACTGTATTTTTAAAATGTGTTTACACTTGCGATTTAAAATATGCACATGAAATTAAAAATTTTGTTCATTATTCATCTTAGAAATGAACAATTACACAAATATATACAAAAAATGATGATCAAATTTATAGCACAGTCACATTCATACATAATTTTGACAGTATGTATAATTAAATGCATTGACACATTGGTGTGTATGCTGTTTTATTTATCTACTAGTATCATAGTTAATTATTTAAAGTAGCAAATCTTATAATTTTTCAAAGTTTTTCAGTTATTTTATAATTAAAACAAAATTTATACAGTGGGTCTCAAAGCAGTGAGCGGTGACAACTTGTAAAAAATTACTTCAACAGCAATTTAATAATTCTGATGTTGCTAAACATGCTAAAACTTCCAGAAAATTTGTCTGTATATTTATGATAAAATTAAATTGAACTTGCAAATGAAAACTTGACCAGGTCAAGGGCGTCGTAGGTACACTAATTCAAAAGAAGACCACTGTATAGTGACTATGTAGTTGAATGCTGCAAAAGAAAAAACCATCAGTGCAAGTTTGTTGTCGTTTGTTAAAAAAGGGGTTGAAAAGTGACACACAGAAATGACATAAGGTTATCAAAATAAGGCTCAGAAAAAGAAGAGACTTACTTGGTGCAAAAACCAAGTGAGTCTCTTCTTTTTGTTCTTTTTGTTGATTGGACTCGAAATCAATGGCATCATGTGGTATTTAGTGACTAATCACATTCTGAAGTCATAAATAGAAAGAATCCTGAGTTTGTACATCATCTTCCTAATGAAAAAGATTTGCCATTTAATTTTACAACAAGAGCATAAAGTGCTGGAACTATTTCTGTATGGGGATTCTGCAAATGGAATAGGTTTATTAAAATTTTACAAAAGTTGTTTGAATGTTTCTTGTTATTTAGAAGTTTTTGCTGAATTGCCTGACAATATGGACACTCTTTTTGATTCTGAAGCTGAAGATTGTTATTTTATGAAAGACAACGCACTGTGTCTCAAAGCAAAAAAACTCTGGAATGGTTTGCAATGAAGAATATTTGGCTCCTAGAATGGCCACCCACGTCACCAGAAGCAAATCTGATTAAGTCTTCGGTCAATTATTAATCAAAAACTTGAAAAAAAACATAAGCAACACAACTTAAGCAACACAACTTAAAGGATGTAATTCAAGACATTTGGGACAAGACTGACTGAATTGATCTTTGCATTAAATTGGTAAATTCTGTTCCAGATCATATTTCTAGAATTTTTAGAGCTAAAGGATTCAACATTTCTTCATATAAATCAAATTCTAATATTTTTTAAATCTAAAACTAGTACTGTAAACTTTAAAACATGTTAACTTTAAATGTATTTTCAATTTTCATTCATTTTTGTAAAAAGTAAAATTTTATTCTTCAAGTAAAAAAATAATTATAGCTTTTCATTCAACTCTCCACTAAATTTTTATCATTCAATTTTTATTTTACATTTGTGCTATAATTTTGACAAATAATAATAATAATAGTTTTTTTTGAATCGAAAAAAAAAAATTCCCCCACCAGTGCAGATGAAAATTTGGTCCCAGCTGTCTAAAAATGCAAAAAAGTTTTCAACTTTATAATAGGAGTATATTCACTTGAAAATATCTCAAAAATACCATGGGAGTTATTTTTGTAGCTTGATATGTCTACTTTTAGATAAAGTTTTATTTTTTTGTAAAAATGATGGGAAGAATTGATCTTACCCATTTGCAATTGTGTTTATATTGGTGGAGGGTGGATTTTTTTTTTTCTATGTACTTTAAATTTAAAAACATTCTCATAATTGTACATTTTTCTTTCAAAGAAATTTTATGGTTTTTATCCAAGATTTTTTATCAGTTGTTTTAAATTTTTAACAATGATAAGCTACAACCAGTTTGCTTGTCCATCTTCATTTTTGCTTGTCCGTTTTTTTTTTTGAATAAAAAATGTACAATTATAAAAATGTTTTATATTTTTTTACGACTTAATGTATTGAAATAGGTTATCTCATGATAAAAAAGTTTACCATGTGTTCTTTGAAGAAAATACAGACCAATAAATTTACAATTCATTCCCAATTTAAATTGAATTAATAATATAGTAATATGTTATCATGATAAAAATATCAATATATCAATAAATCCAAATTTAAATTGACTTAATAATACAGTTATATGTTATCATGATAAAAATATCAATATATAAATGTTTTTAGTTACAATATCTTTAATGAATTCTTTTACTTTTGATATGGGATTTAGAGACATGAATGTTGACTTAAAAAGAAATAGAAAGAATTTAAACAAAAACAAAACTATTGAGGCATAAACGTTTTTTCAAAAGATTTATTTAATATAAAGTAAAAAAATTCATTGTATTGAAAGATAAAGAACAAGTTTTAAAAAGTAGACAAGTTGTAAATTTTCTCAATGATCAGAAAAGATTGCATGTTCAAAAAGTGTTGCTCAAAAAATTTTTTGCAAATCAAAAGTGAAGTAAGAAAAAAGTTTAAAGGTTATAAGAGTTCATTAGGAAACAAACAAAGGTTGGTTAGTAAAATATTTGAGGAGACAAAATGTTATGATATTTGCAATAATGGAGATAATAATATAGACAATACACCATAATAAGATAGACAATACACCATTATATATATATAATTATAGCCTTTTTAAAAAAGTATGTTATTGTTCCTATTTTTATTCAAAAACGTGTTAAGAAAAATTTAGCTCTAATATATTATTATTATTATTAAGTACATATAAAAAAATTATACAAATCCACCCCCCCAACCTCCCAAATATACACATGATTGCAAATGAATAAGATCAATTTTTCCCATCATTTTTACAGAAAAAACAAAGCATAATCTAAAAAAAGGTAGATCAACCTACAAAAAAAAACTCTTATTGTATTTTTGAAATATTTTCAAGTGACTCTGCCCCTACTATAAATGCAAAAACTTGAACTTTTTGTACTTTTAGACAGCTGAGACCAAATTTCATCTGTACTGTTAGGGGAGTTTTTTTTTCGATTTGGAAAAAACTATTATTTTTTTAAGTTAATACAAGTATAAGTTCATCTATTGCCACTATGCCATTTCTGAAAAAAATGAAATGTGCTTTTTAGTCATACCCCTAATATATGTATATAAGAACTTTTTTTATTTTACACTGTTTTTCATCAATTAAGACTCATCAGAAATATATGTTCAAATTAATAAAACTTCAATTTATACCAAAAATTAAAGGAAGTCATGAATGTCTTAACTACTGTAAATTTTCACACATTGGTGGAATATGCTGACATTATTATAAAATGAATTTTTTAGAATTGTTTAACTTTTTTTTTTTTAATATTTTTTAAAGGGGGGATTTAATATAATTATTTTTTTGAGCTCACTTATTTTTATAGTTTTTTAGGAGAAATTTATTTTTATGTCTGCAATGCAGACTCTGCATTAAGTAATCAATACACCTTTTCACAGTTCCAATATAAAATTTATGCACGCGCAGAAATGGAAGTAAAAACGTATACAAACATTATTTTAACAGTAATTTGTTCGAGATTTACAAAGAAAAACTAAGGTTTATCAAACAATATTATGAAACCAGTGCCATTAGTCTTATATAATTATTAAAAAAAGAGCCTGTCTAATCCATTTTAAATAACATATTAAGAAACAAGTGAAAAAAAGTACCTCAAAACATTGACTTTAAGATTTGTAAAAAAATAATTCAACTATCTTATTTTGTGCTCTAATATACCTAATGTAGTGTTTAAAGCTTATAATTATATAGTAATAATAATAACAATAATAATAAGATAACGATGAAGAGGAATATTATAAGTAACAATACTAACAGTAACAATAAAAATATTATATATATATATATATATATATATATATATATATATATATATAT